ACAGTATTGCCTGTAGAATTTATTTCTATGATTACTAATTAAACATTTAAGTCTTCACAGACTATCAAGATAAAGGGTATGGATTCACTGTTTTGAAAGAAACTTTCATAAGGAAAGTAAAGTATATGTATGAAAACATTATTAGTATACCTACTGATTTGTTGTTTGTTTGTGTGTTTAAAAAGGCCACGAGGAAAACTACAAGGATTTACACCTCTTACAATGATATATTCATCTAGATAGCTAAATGGAAGAAAGCTGTACTCTTGAGATTGTCTCTTGATCCAATACACTGGGTCAGAAAAACAATTACAGCAGTATGAATGAAAAGGATATACTTTGTTTAGCCTACTTACCTAAGGAAACCAGGCTTCTGAGATCACATTGACCACCCCAACACCCCTTGAATAGAGCTGAAGATTTCACTTTCAACCAAATTTGACAGAGAAAAATAAAAAAATTAATAAATTTCAGTCTCTATCAGTGTCATGGAAACAGATGGTTAAGGCTGTAAAGAAACATCCTGTTTAAGCTCTCACTAAATAAAAGGCTATTAAATTCACTAAAACCCAAATTTAATGACTTCCGTTCTTACATAACCCAACAGTACACTGCTGAACACCTCACTTATGGCTCACATATAATTAACATGTTATACTCCTAAATAGATGTAAACTATATAGGTTACAACGCAGAAAAGGGAACCCCTACACTTTCTGAGAAGGTCAAAGTCCCGTGAGTTTCAGGCAGGACTCTTTGTACTGGGTTTAAAACAGAATGAAAGGAACAAGACAAAATGGATAAGCAACATTAAATTTTTCATGAAGTTTATCTCAAAGTGAGTAGGGTAACTCCCACTTAGAGCTAATGTCTTATCGCTTGTAGACAAAGCAGCATTTTGGAAATTTCAACTAGACATTGAACAGGTGCTATAGGAAATAATGATGCTGAAGCCTATACAGTGACTGTCAAATAAAAACAGAAGAAAACCCTCCAAAATGCTGAAGACCTTCACAGGAAACACAAGTTCCTCATCTTCTCACTCATTAATAAGTATTCACTACAGTCAATTTGAATTACTGTTGAGAGTTTCAGGGGTGAAATAGGGGTTAATGAGGCTAAAAGAAACACATGAACAGAGATAACTGTACAATTCTGAAAAAATAAAGCAAGGAGTATGCAAGAAGCTGATTTCACATAAAATTAGTGGCAAATGGAGAAAAGCCTCTATTTTGCCTAAAACTAAAACACTGCTTCACGATCAGGTGTGACCGGGGCTTCTCAAGGTACACTATTTCCACATGTGTTATCATAACTTGACACACATTCTTTGCTCATTACTGTTAATTACAATGAAAACCTCCTATAATGAACTGTAAAAGAATGTATCAATGAAACTGAGATAAACTGACCTTTCCCCATACACCCATATTTATATAGCAGTGGTTTTTTTACACTGACAGTTCTGTAAAATAATTTTTGAGTACAATAATCAAGATTATGATGCTTCTCGTGTTCTTGTGAAATCATTCAAATAAAGATTCCATGAGCTATTCCTTCAGCTGCCACCAACAAGAGGTGCTCTGAATTCAACCTATTACAAAAGCAAACCATCTCGCTACAGTATTCAAAATAGACGTTAAATTTATGTGCTGCATTATTAAAAATAATTTTCATTCCCACTGGCAGCAATGTAACCCTCTTCCCACTTCTAAGAGGCCCTAATCCCTTCTTTGTGGCATCACTCACCCTCAGCAAGCGTGACGCACCAGCCCAGAAGGCTGCTCAGGACAAATTTTGCATATCTGATCAAACAACAATTTCAGTCGTTACCCACCAATTTGAACAGAAGGCTTTTCCCTGTCAGTTTTGCCCACCCACAGCCAGATGTCACCAGGTTCCACTGAAGTCCTAGATACCGCAACTGGACGTCTTTGCAGGGACCAGCAGGCTGCTGTTGGTAAACACTTTTTTTCAGCTTTTAAGGTGGCAATCACTGAGAACTTCACAGAAAGCAAGCCAGTGAAAGCTCTACTTACCATTAAGTTCTCCCTCCATGGCACCCTTCCTAGGTCTCCTCTGAACTATGAATGAACCCACACTCCTTCCCAAAAGCCCCTTCTTTTGATCTCAGTAAAAGCAGGTAAGAATGATTAACACATTTGTATAAAACTAATGTATCTGGGAGCAAACATCTGCCTATCTGAAATAACTGTATAGAGTCAATATTTTTTTATTCCAAATAAAAACGATGGATATGAAGATCACTGCAAAATGGACAGTACTTTGCAACACAACTTATACTTTCTTTCTATTCATCATTACATTTTGCCACATTTCCTCTCTCACTCTTCTCATCTCCTTGGGATAAAAAAATATTCCAAGCCATTATCTCCTAATCTTTCAAGCTTTAAAGTCAAGCTCCAAAGGAATGATTACAACCACTACTTTCTTCATGTGTATGCCACTGCAACCCAAATGCAAAGATACACACCATGACAACATACTATGGCAAATCAGGCCCTCATACTGCACTGTTTGTCCTCTTCCTAAAATGCTGCAGGTTGCCTGCTTACCCTCCAAAACAAGCAGGATGAAGATGAGCTACATGCCACACACTGTTCATGCCGTTCTGCATGCTCCAAAATGGGATTAGCACAGAAAATGCGAGAAGACCAGGAGGCATATTTCCATATTTAGCCATGTATGTTTAATACTGAGTTAGATTTCACCTCAGTGCATTATTCCATTAATCAAGGGTGGGTATAACAAGAGAGACATAGACTGACATCAGCTACTTTTAAAATTTCTCTTCCTCTTCCCCCCACCTCCAGCTTCTATGACACCATGCATTGTGCATTTCATGTGCATTCATGTGTGCAAAGAGCAGAGACTTATCTATAAAGATTAGTTATACGGTAAAACTGCAAAAGGAAACTTTCACCCTTGTCCAGCTGGTTGAATAACTGCAGAGGCCAACAGCAGCAAGCCTCTAAATACATCCTGTTCTCCCTCCACCCCCACGTCTCTAATCACTTAGGAGGAAGATAGGAAGATTAGCAGAGAGGAAAAAAAATAACCAAAGCTGCAGATAACCCTTTAGGACCACAACGTCAGGCTATAAGAACATGGAGCAAAAGGTTAATGCAGCCGTATTTTCAGGAACCCCAAGCACAATTGTATTTAAAGGGGAGGGAGGGGTGCTGAGAATGTGAGACAGGGAAAGAAAAAAGGAAATGGTGATGAAGGCAAAAATGAATTTGTCATCTACAGCTAGCTCTTTGATCACCTGGAGTATCCAGGAAAGGATATCAGCAGAAATAGGGCAGTTTTATAAACAATACACCACAATTTTTCTTGTATTTTCATTATCATCATAAGAATAGATTTTCGTAAGAATACAGCTGCAGAAGACTTACTGAGCTATGCAAAGAATAAAGGTGGTACCTAAAACAGTGACAGAGAACTACCTTTAGTAGCTGATATACTGAAGAGATTTGAAAAAAAATAAAATATAAATAAAAGTCACTTCCACTAGAAGACAATGTCATCTTCATCCATGTCTCTGAACGGTTGCTATGGGGTTGTGAAGAGGAGGGGAAGGATGGGAGGGAGGTTATAATCAATCATCTCAGAAGAGCATTGCTTCTTACAGAGAAAGATCTGGATTTTGACTGTGTCCCTAAGAAAATTGCGGACTGCAGAGCTGCTGCCACGCAGGGCAGTGAGGAAGCAGGCAGAGTAGAGGCAGCAGCTGGGGCTGGAAACGCCTATTAAATCCTTTAGACAACAGATGGGCAAAGCTCGGCTGGGTTATAAAAAAAAAAAATACACCACAATGCATCATGTTTTATTGTCCCACCATAATGAACAACACTTAACACCCACATGCCCAAAGAAGCCCCCCTATGGCTGATCTTACCCCTTCCCTAAATAATAATTTTGAGTCTCAATCCACTTTTGGGGGGCTCCCAACCCAATGAATTTGCCAGATGCCATTGCTTATTGCACCTGTTATTTAAAAAAAAAAAAAAAAAAAAGGAAGACATTTGGGCTTCGTTTTAAGCACGTTTTTCTTCCAATTAATGCTCCCCTGCCCTTGAAGTGAACATGCTATCCATGCAAGCAACAGTAAGTCCAGATCTTGAACGCATTCAGGGGATCTAATTATGTCATGTAGGGCAGAGGCACCTGCTCTCTGCTAATTCCCTCCACTCCGTTTCCTCTTTTTAATATTTCTTACCATTGTTCCATTCAGGAAAATCTGCTGGGGGCGAGTTTCATAAACAAGCTTTAAGAAAAATAATTAAATAACCTCCCTTCCCCCCCTCCCAATCCCTCCTACAAAAACACAGCATAACCAGAATGAATTCTGCTACCAATCCTCTATTTTTCTTTTATTTCAGACCCTACCCACAAAAACCACTAGCCCATCCATCCATATTTGCTAAATACCCACAGCAGTCAGTGCCAGAGACATACTGTACGTATTTCCACCTCCCCCCCCCAACTGCACCTTAAGGACTACACCCTTTTCAATCATGATGTCATGAAATACTGCTGGTGACTCCCCCACTACCACCACCACCCCCTCCTCGGTACTACAGGCTGTGAACCTTTAATTTCAATATAATTTGATTAAAAAGAAAATGCTCCTAAGTAGGGCAGTGAAGAAATGGATGTGAAAATTCACCACCAGCAGATCATCTATTTTTTTCCTCTGCATGCACTCTGCCTGTCATTAGAACAACACCCATTAGCAGGAGTAATGAACATAAAGCATCCTGGGCTTTTTTCTTTTCTTTTTTAAAAAAAAGAAAAAAAAAGAAAGAATTAAAATGAAAACTAAAAATAAATAAAGACAAAAATCCCTTATGAATATTATCTGCACTAGAGCAGCAAATGGGAAAACCCGAACCCTCAAATATCCCATTCCCGACACCTCACTGGCTGCCACAGCACCTTCCCTCTAGCACCGGTGCTGCTGCAAAAGAACCAACCTGTTTGTCCTTTTCCTAGGGTTTTCTCCAAACGATAGGGTCCAACATATTGTGCATGTTGAGCTCCGCTGCCTTCTTTCCCTGTTGATGTCATTTCTACCTGGATCTGTAATTCTTCAATGTGTATGTGCTGATGAGCTGGAATTTCTCTCTCTGCAGCTCTTTAAATTCCCACTTTGCAGCTGTGCAAGCAAAGCACTCTTTTTCTCTGCTTTAGTCCCCTTGGTTGCAGATTTTCCTCTTCCTCCTCTTTCTTTCCTCTCTCACGTGCGTGTTCTCTCTCTGGGTCTGCTTGGGACGCTGAAAGACGAAGGAGTTATTTTAATGTTCAAAGAGGGGGATCTACGATCCAAGCCCAAGGAGCATGATGCTGGTGATCGGAGCTCCGCACGCCTTGTTCTCTCTGGGAGCTGTTCAAGGGAGAGCCAGAGCTGGAGCAGCGGAAGAGCCGGGGCCGCAGCTGAGACTGACATTAAAAGCAGCCAATCCCTCGTCTCCCACCTTCTTCTCCCCTCCTCCTTCCACTACCTTTTCTTTTCCATCAGCAGCACTTGCTGCCTCTGCCTGCTACAGAGCATCAGGACCAATGGCAACAGCAAACACCTGAGTTCATCAGCCTATTGATAAGGCACAATTAAATATATTTTAATGTGTATATTATTTTAAGACCCAAACATCCACCTTTTTTTTTTTAACTTCTGAATTCTTTTCCACTATGCAGCTGTAGTTTCAGATTGTTAAAGAAAAGACGAGACTGTGGCAGGAAATAGGAAAGGGGAAAAAAAACTACTTCTGAAAATAAGCTTGGGAAATTCATTGATTCTGTTTGATTCTGAAGGACCTATATCTCCTGGGGGTTTTACCCATTATAGAGAACCTTGGGGGAAGGAGGCGGGTGAAGAGAAAAAAAGGATAAAAATAATAGGGCCAATCCTGTAACCAGTGAACTCAGTGACAGACCTGCTTTTGAATTTTATGGGAGCAAATAAACTTCAGGTCCTTAGATGAACAGATCAAAAATGGCACAGCCACCCTCTTAATTAGAAACGCAACCAAAAATCCAGAGATTAGATGGTAATAGGACTGATTGCTAGATCCATACCCTGGCTCCATATTAGCAGGGTAAGAAAACTTTTACTGTTCTTGTCCAAGTATTTATGCTTGTCTTTAACCTTCAGAGCTTAAGGAGCTGGATGAAAGAAAAGATTCTGCAGATTTGCTTCCAGTTCAGCACAAGCCTATGTATTTTCTGGGTTCAGTACAGTTTCAGCCAGACTCCATGGCTATCGAGCTGAAACCATTACCATTACCAAGTGCCATTTTTACCTTCTCTTCCCTGTTCCACTCCAGACTTAAAACTCACCAAGATATTCCTATTCAAATTCCAACTGAGCCACAGAGAGTGAAAGCATTCTTAAGTCAGAGAGAGAAGTCTTAACAAGGCTGTAAAAGAGAGAGTAAAGAGAGGGCAAAACTTGAACAAGCCTCATCTGTTGCTCACTGAGAGAAGACTATTTCAGGTTTATTTATTTGTTTTTTTGAAGACGGAAATTTACTTTGTTTTAATACTTATATCTACAGACAGCAGCTGCTCTTGTAATTTGAAATAAAACTAAAAATTGGCTCTTTACCTGTACCACAGACAACACAACTCTACTTACCAAGTTGCAGAGGAGTTAGTAAGATGAGGAGGCAGGAAGAAACCGGGCTAGTAGACTGAAACCTTAAACCGATTCCAAGGTATCCCTCTGTATGCTCAGGAAACAAAACTCCAACATTTGCTTTGAAAGGAAAAGCCCTTCTTTGCTCTTTATGGTTTACCTTTACTCACTTCCAGACTGTGTCACTGCAGCAACCTGCCAGCAAACTCCAGAACACCCTAAACCATCTCCATTCCTCAGCTTCTCCCTCCAGACCTCACCCTGTGTGACCAAGCACCAAGACTCCTTCCATGCTGAGGACTGCCTCTGTAACTTTCCAATGGCACTCTCTGCCCCCTACAGCCCCTACAGGTGTTTACTTCCCCCTCGCTCAACTCCAAATTGCCATTTCTCCAAGCTCCCTTCCCCATATCTTTCATTAAGCATTGTTCTTCCCCCACCTCACCACAAGCCCATCCTTGCTGCCCCACACATTCTCCCCTCAGAGCCCTGGTGTGTCACCTCATGCACCTGAGCCTGCAGTCCCTCACCATGGAAGGAGGGAAGAAAGTTGAGGAAAACAATGCCAACAATCGGGACGGCACGTCCCCATGCCATGCTCCACTCCCCTCTGTCCTGCAGCCTCTGGCAGAGCCTCAGGACCAGAGGAGGGGACCAGAGAGGAGGCAGCTGGCCCTGCTGGCAGACGCAGTGATGTGGCAGCTTTTGCCTCCCAAAGTGGCAAATCAGAGGCCAGAGGGCAGGGGGAAGGCTGTGTGAGCATCCCTGTGGAGAGGTGTAGGGGAGGGTGGTAGTACCAGTAGCTAAACAGGCAGCTGACAGGCCTATGAGACCTGCCCCACGGCCAAGGGATAAGGCACCACCTGCCCTTGGTACAAAACAAACCTGCCCCAGGTGTGGCGCAGGACTTGGCCCCTGCAGCACTGACAGACCCGTGGGCTCAGAAGCCCAACCACAAGGCCCAGAGATGTCAGGATGGATTCAGCAGGATAGTCTGATATGCCTTGTGACATGGTTGAAAAAATGCCTCTGAAACTTGAGGCACCCATGCATGACTCAGAAGCCGTCCTTTCCCTATGGCTTCTGAGCCAGGATTGGGCTCCTCAAGCTGAGGCACCGTGGTGGGAGAAGCGCTCTCCCCACCGGGCTGTTGGCTACAGAAATCAAGGGCTGAGTGGAATCAAAATGTGTCATGGTTTCAGACCCTTCACTCTCCATAAATGTTTGACCACTCCCACTGTTAAAAGGCCCCTACACAGGCAGTAAGGGACAACACTTAAGTACAGGAATGTGAGCATAGCTTTCAGAAAAAGGAAAATACTATTTATTTGTATAAATTAGCAAAGTATCCACACCACCATATTAATAATGCAGGGGGTGAATATCAGCATAGATCAACATCGTTTTTAATTTCAAGATTTGTATTTTAAAAGGCATTTAAAAGGAGAATATGATATCTGTATGTAGTTGAACCATATCTGGGTCATGATATTAATAGAAAGATGAACAGTCAGACAATATTGTCCACCCAAGACCAAACTTGTGTACAAACTGTGAAGTTTGTTTCTGTTGGTCATTTGGGAAAATGAGTTACAGAGACAGGGATGTTACAAATCCCCACCTTCTGTCACAAAATATGTGTCAATGTCACGGCTGGAATAAGGTTAGAAAACTTGGTGAAGTTCATATGATCCTGACTAGAAGATCAGTGAGATTAGAAAACAAAACAAAACAAAGAAACACACACATGCATGCACAGAAACACTACCCCTCTCCTCTTCCCCTCCTCCGCCCCCCCCAAACTCCCATATCGTTCTGGTCTCATTTAGTTATGTTATTTTGATTCCATAGGAATATTCTTCTGTATGGCCTATTGCAACAATTTTGACCTTTTGTCCTAAACTGTTTTTGAGAAAGTGTTTGGACACTTCTTGATTCCTGAATAATCAAATGTTGTTTATTTTATTTGTTCATATAGAGCCAAATCCCATTTATCTGTACCCCTTTGATCTGAAACTCAGTCCTTTGAATCTAGGTTATGTCCCCCTGGTGTGAATTACTTATACAATAACTCCCTCAATTATTTGAAGCCCTGTTTATCCAAATGTTTTGATGTTCCAAGAGTATTTTGAATAAACAGGACTCTGCTGTCATTGGATATATCAGATATCTTTGGGGATGCATACGGGATGGTTTCCCCTGACCTTATTCTGTATTATCTTGTGTTTCAATGAACAAGCAGTGTGAACTTAAGTGTATAGTTAGCATATTGACATAATCTTCAGTACTTTTACTTCTTTATCCATTAATTATTTTTCGTTCATTATTCTCATTTAAGAACTAAATTTCACTCAGGAAGGACTCAACACAGCAAAAATTTTGCTTGAGTATGGAGTGAATAAAAAAGTAATGATCTAGAATTTTGCTTAGTTTTATCATACTTCTGGAAAAAAAGCAGAGCAAATTATTTGCATTTTTCACCCATTCCCATTTTCACTAGCTTGTATCTAATGAAAGTCCTCATGTTCATTTGTTTTCTTAGATGCTTGCTATTGCCTTTCCTCTTATTCCCATGAAAATATTAAGAGTCACGATGGATCATGAAATGGTGCAAGAAGCTAGAGGAAAAAACAGATCCATGAGAAAGTTTTTTTCAATATTTTTCACTTGTTCAATTGAATTCTCTGTGGAATTAATAATGAAAATTAACAAAGGAAATATAAGGCTTCCAAGAAAAGGCACCGATAAGCTTTTATAATTAGCATAGAATAAATGAGTTGACTTTTTGTGGTAAGAAGAATTCACATAAGCTAGGACTTTGTCTCCAATTAGAATAACGTGATAGCTAATGCCAATGACAACCACATATTAAAGATAAACAGGAGAAAAATATTCAGCATTTGCAATGTCAGGATCCATTATCACATCCTGAATTACATGTTCCATCCACATACCTATGGATACATGACACCCCTTTGATAAGTGGTATTGGGATTAAAATATTTTGGGAATTAACCTCCATAATAAACTGAGCCAGATATTTGAGGGACATTTAGTCACCTATACTGTTGACAAACTGATAATACTTTTATTGAGGATAATTGTATCAATCTGCAATATCTCCAAACAGATGCTAACAGTCTAAAATTGAGAATTTTCCCCCTTTGTGTTAGATAGCTACCTTTTTCCTAAGAAGCTGAGGTAGACCATAAGAAAAGAAAGGACTGGATTTTAGTAAGTGAGTGGTGTTTCAAATTCTTAGAACACCCTCAGAGTTCAGATACTTTTGCTACTATAGCAAGGGTTGAGGAACTTCTGCTAGTTAACCTTGCTTACTGGAAGACAGTGCTTCCATAAAGACTCCCACTTCAGCAGCTCCTAAACAGGTCCACATTGCTCAGCAGATGTATATTGTGGTAGCAGTTAGACAGATGCTTTGGAGATTTTACTGTTGTTGTTGCTATTATTATTGTTAATAATAATTTAGCTATTATTATTAGGATTCCTGGTATTCTACATTTCTAGTAACTAATTTTAAGGTTCACCTAGAAAAATGAACTGTTAGCTTGTTATCTACGTATCATCTTTGTTTAAAGCTGGATTAAGGTAAAGGCTTGTAAAATAGTTAATAACAAAATAGATAACTGCTTTCACAGTATCATTTTCTCTGGACTATGGTCTCTCTTTATTTCTTTGGAAATATTGCTGTCATTTTCTCAAGCCTGCTGCTGTCATTACCTGTGCCTCTCAGAACTGTTAAACTATTAAGGAGCAAAACGCACTT